TATGAAGACCAATCAATAATAATAGCAGATTTCTTTTGGATCTGTGGAGGTGCCTTCTTTACCAATTGGATGGAAGTTGGATGGAAAGGTACATGCGTAAGAGTACGATTACTCCAAGAAAACTTCCTTCTAGAGCTCCAGAACTTTTAGCACTCGGAACAACTAAAAGAAGTAAAATAGCACCTGAAAAATGTGAAAATCAAACTATTGCTTTACCTTCTATAGAATTTTATGAAGACCAATCAATAATAATAGCAGATTTCTTTTGGATCTGTGGAGGTGCCTTCTTTACCAATTGGATGGAAAGGTACATACGTAAGAGTACGATTACTCCAAGAAATTAACATAGCACAATGGGGAACAGAACAAAGCACAAACAAGGAGGATAACAGAATTAGAAGAGGTTATGAGCCAGACCCCAATGTATATTTAGACTCAATTGGACAACCGAGAGGAATTCCCAATAAATTCAAGGCAAGAGATGAAATAAAAGCAGGTTTTGAGTCAATATTTGTTTGGATCACACCAAACAAAAATACAGAGTGGATTAATTACATTTATTATAATCAACAAAGATTCATTAATTATACTGATGATGCGTTAACCTTATTAGGAGACCAAGTGCACGCAACAAGTAGAATGACATGGCAAAACAGACAAGCTCTTAAATGGCTCTTGGCAGACAAGGGAGGAGTTTGTGTTATGTTTGGAGATCAATGTTGTACTTTCATACCAAATAATACTGCTCCTGTGGGAGCTTTTATTGAAGTTATGACTAAAATTTAAAAAATAAGAGCTGAAGTTACAGCAAATGCTGGAAGAGACGAACGAATTTGGGATTGGATTGATCTGAAATTTGGAGCATGGGGAGCATGGTTTGCGAAAATAGGAATGATTTTAGGAGTCACCATATTAGTAGGAGGAATATTATTTAGCTGTATATTACCTATATTAAGAACATTAATTGTCAACGCTACTGTCAAACAAATGGAAATGATAAAAGTACCAAAGAATCAACAAATGATAACAGAAAGGAACCTGGATGAATATTATGACGGATGGCTAAACAAACTAAACTTAAATGAGCAAACTTTGGATGATAGTTCAAGTCACTCTGATGAGGACGAAGAAGAAGCGTAAAAATGAACAATACCCTGGGTATAAGTGCTAGACTATCTTCTACCCAAGGGAGGCTCTCGAGGATGCGCAAAGTATCTGGGCTAAAGATCAACTATGCTAATCCTGTGATATACTATGTGTGATGTTTTGAATGTGTTTTTATGTCTTTATACATAACTGTGACAACCACAGGCAAGCGCTGAACCAATTGCACGCTCATGCTTATAACATTGTTTTGTATAGAAGTAAGAAATTATGGAGACTGGATCTTTTACTCCCTTCCTAGTCGAATAAGGGGGGAGACGTTTGGTCCTGATGCTCCAAAACCAGAGTGATACTGCATCATTTAGTCATTGGTAATATAACAGAGTGACTAATAAAGTCCCATTATAGTCCCATATGCCTGTGTGTAAAAACATGCCTACGTGGCAGAAAGTACAGACCTCAGATGAGAAACATCTGGAAAAAACATAAGTGGGGGCTTTCTTTACCATAACAAGACTAGAGAGGGGGGGCTTTCTCTCTAGGGAGAATTGTATGCACAAAGGAACCATTCTATGTATGGAAAAACTGTATGGAATATATATCCCACGCCTCCAAATCCAAATGTATAAAAAGGAAGACAGAAATTCTGGAGATGTTCTCTGCAGAGATTCTCCGCTTTATTCTCATTGTTGAAATAAAGTGTATTTCTTCTGGCTTCAAAAACCCAAGACTGAGTGTGATTTCTAAGAGCAGAGGAAAAAGACACTACAATAGTGGAAAAGTATAATGATTACATACAGGTTTATACAGATGGTGCCAAGGAACCAGAGACGGAAGTAACAGGACTGAGTGTGGTGGTTCCAAGTAAAGGAATTGGAATTAATAGAAAAACATCTAATGTGTTAGGGGTTTATACAGTGGAAATGCTGGCAATATTAATCGCTGTACGATGGGTGGAAAAGACAGGGCAGCATAACGTTTTGGTTTGTTCAGATTCATCATCAGTTTTAGCAAGTATAAGGTCAATCTATTCAAAAAGTCGGCAAGATATACTGTTTGAAGTCCTACAGTCAGTTACAAGAATATATAACCAAGGCAGGCAGATAAAATTTTTATGGGTACCAGGACATGTAGGGATAAGGGGAAATGAAATGGCAGATAAATTAGCTAAAACGGCGTTAACAAAAGGAAACATAGAAATGCAAGTAAGTATCAGTAAAGCAGAGGTTAAAAGTGTGATATGGAAGACAATAAATAAAATGTGGCAAGAGAGGTGGGATAGAGAGGGGAAAGGAAGGCATTTATATCAAATCCAGAGGGATGTTAAATGTTCAGTGATTGGTAATGGAAATCGCAGAGAGGAAACAGACATAGCTAGGTTAAGATTGGGACATTGTTTATTAAATAAAACACTCAAGTTAATAGGAAAACATGATACTGGATTGTGTGAGGTTTGCCAGGAAGAGGAGTCAGTGGAGCATGTGGTGGAAGATCCATTCATAACAACATAAGATTAGTTCTAGATTTGATCAATTGCAGTGATATATTTTTGTAGAGAATGGCTTCGTTGTATTTCTAGACTTCTACAAAGCCTTTGATTCAGTAGAACCATTTATCCGTTTATCTTAGAAGATTTATAGCATTTTGGTTTTGGTCAGAAATTGACAAATCTAATTAGTATACTTTAAAATGATATTAATAGTTGTGTATCTTTAGAACATGGCACTTGCTCAAGATTTTATAGTTAAGAGGGGCATTAGGCAATGGTGTAACATTTATTATATTCCTTTACTATTTATAATGGTTGCTGAATTACTGTCCAGCAGTGGATCTGAAGGCTTTAACATATTGGGGAAACACATTATAATAACTCAATTTGCAGAAGATACAACTTTGTTCTTAAAAAATGAAAACCAAATTGTTGCAGCACTAGATTCAATTAATCAATTTTCTAAAGCATCAGGTGTTATGTTAAATATTAATAAGTGTGAAATTCTTGCTTTGCATGAACAACCAGCTCGCTCAATCAGTAACATAAGTGTTAAAATGGAAGTTAAATATTTGGGTATTACAGTCACCCGAAATAAAGAAATAAGAGAGAAAGAAAATATTCTTAAAAATATTGATAAATGTAAAAAGATGTTGAACTTATGGCTACAAAGGGATATAACTATATTTGGCAGGGATTTGCTGTCCAAGATGGATACTTAGCAATCGAAAATCTTTGTTTGTAGGGACTTGAATGGAAAAAGGAATATGGGCAATATCGCATTTGATGGATAATTATGGTATTTTTTTTTTAAATATTATAATGATTTGTGAGGTAAATTTAATTTACAATGCTCAATTAGAGAATACAACAAAGTAATGAAGGCCATCCCAGTACCCCTACAAACAATGATTCAACAGTTTGTGAATAAAATATAAGTTTATGAGATTTGTAAATTATTCCATTCCTTTTTTACTCACAATTTGTACAGTGTCCCAACTTTTTTGGAATTGGGTTTGTACTCTAATACTATACCAGAAATTAAATCACTCAGTATTGAAGGTACAAATCTAAACAGCAAACAATTTACAAATAAGTTTATTAGAAAGGCTAAACAATATTTCCCCAGTCAGCAGAAAAGAAAATATGTTCTTCAAGAAATTAGTGAAGAAGAGGCAAAGAAAATAAGGAAGCGATATTTAGTATATCCAATCCTTCCTAAGGCAAAAGAAGTGACATTTAAAATTTTTAATGACATTTATCCTTCTAATAACTTTTTGCATGAAATATTTAATTGGGTAATTGAATTGAATAATTCATGCAGGTTCTGTGAGGATGACATTGAAACGGTAGAACATGTTTTCTGGCTTGAATTTCAAAACTGGCTTCATTCCAAACAGATACCAATACACCCTTGGACTGTGGTCTCAATTAAAGTTGGAGTATTGTTGAAAGATAAGAACCTAGACTTTTTGATAAATAACTTAATTATTTTGTGCAAACACTTTATTCATAGATGCAAGTATTTAAATGATAACCCCCACTTCAGCGGATGGAAGAATGAATTACATGACAGACAGAATTGCCCAGAAACTCTTATATAATTTGAACTTGTTTTTGTTGATAGAATAAGACTCACACCCTTCTTGTTCCTTTTTCCAGTATTTTCTGCTGGTTTTTTTTTTATTTCAATTTGCTGTATCAACACTAATAATAATATGTGTTCAGTTATTGAAATATGCCGTTAAAGTTTGTATTTGAATTGTATGCATTAAACAAAAAAAATCAGGGTCTCTGACCAAAGCACTGAACACGCTGGATTGAGGAGTTACCTTTGTGGACCTGCCATTCCAGCATCTCACTTTTATTGGATTATCACTTTCTTTGGATTGTATATACACCGGTGGACACTTTTACATTGGAATTTACAGCATGATGGATTTCTTAAGGACTGTTTTAATGGTATGGAAATGAAACACTCTTTTAACAGCCTAGGTTTTCTAGTTTTATTGTGTTGTTTTAAGTTCCTTGTGAATTCTGTAAATACACAATTCATTCTACATTTGTCGTTGTCTCATCTTTTTAAAACACTTATTTTACATCACACAGTTTAATCTGATCTCATTTTAAACCCATGTAATTTGACCGATAAGGCCAATCGTTACAAGGTTTCCTGCCTTGCCCTACGCAGACTGAGATTTCTTTGGATTCCCTGAATCTTTTCACAATATTATGTATGGTAGATGGTGAAAGACCTAAATTCTTTGTGATTTTGCATTGAGAAATGTGTTTTTTTATTTGTTTGACACATCTCTCATGAAATTGGGCACAAAATGATCCAGCTTTGCTTGCAAAGACTGAGATGCTCCTTTTATCCCTAAACATGATACCCTCACTTATTACCAGTTCACATGCTTACTGGGAACTGTTTCAAAACAGTTTAATTTAGATATTCTTTAACTTTTTTACTTTTATTTTGTCTTTTTTGGAGTGTGCTGCAGCCAACAACATTGACTGTAAGGCCCTGTCCTAGATGAAATACAGGAGTGTGTCCATGAAGGATGTAGAGTGTCCCTTTTGTGGTCACATTTGTGCCCCTGATGCAGACTTTTGCTGAGTTATGCAGGCTCCACAGCACTGCAAATTTATACATCTTATGCCACTAAAGTGTAAACTCCAAGGAGAAATGAAAGGGTGTAGGGCAACATTTGTGACATGGCCTAAATTAGATTGTGTCCTAATTACTTACATGCAGCAGGAGTCGGGCCTCCATGGCCTCCTTACAGGTGATGAAATATGGCTTCATTAGCAATATATCCTGACGTAATTTCTGAAGTACAACAATGATAAGAGATATAATTAGATTGCTTACAACAACTGGATGCTGTTTCAGCAAATGCACTGTTCATAATAACCCATTTTACAAAAAAAAAAAAAAAAAGGTTTACGCTGTCACAATTAAAAAAAACTTACTCTGATTTCCACCAGCTCCTCCACAAAGTTAAAGAGAAGAGGGTTGATTTCCTTCAGTTTGAGCACAGGCCTGGATATCATCAAAGCAAGATAGCGCATTGATGTACGACACACCTGAACACATCAAATACACACACCACAATCAGAGTCTTAAGTCATGAGTCACTATCAAACTGAAAAATATTTATATGGTAACATTTTAGTTTAAGGGACAATTCTCACTATTAACTAGTTGATTTATATGTGCAATATCACACGAATAGCCGTGCGATATGGCTGTATATCAGCACGACTGTGATTCAGCCGTAGTCAATCACAGCATGACGATATACAGCCATATCGCACAGCTACTCATGTGATATTGCTCATACATATCAAGTATGATAACCTGCATCTAATACAGCATTCATTCTTCAGCTCAATCTCATATTCACTATAAATAATCAGTTTGAATGTCTGTTGAGGAAAGGGTGACAAGCATCTGTTAAGGGTGACAGCACTGCTCAGTGAATTTGTTGGCTGCGTGAATTTGTTGGCCGCTTATTGGTGTTATTGAAAGTAAAAATAACTTCCTTGTTTAGAGCCCTGTTTCAGTCTTTTCAATATTCAGCAGTATTTACTGCTGACTCACTCATAAAAACAATCTCTTGTCGCCATCTAATTGTGGAACAATGGAGTTCCAATATCACTTGAATATCACACTCCTCTAAGCCAATTAGATTTGAGGACCAGAAAGAACTATTCTATAATTAATATATATATAGCTTTTCTGAAGATCCAGAGAAAAACAACAGTTTAGTGGCATATTAAAGGTGATAATGTAAATTAGAGATGCACCGATCAACCAGTCAGGGACCGGAATCAGCCGATTTTCCGCATGCTTGACCCGGACCGGTGATCGGCCAGTCAGTCTCATGTCTTGCAGATTCCGAGTTGGTCCATTTTGACATCACAGCCACACTCACAACTGCATGTAAACATGTTGTCGGTGTGGAAGTTCTTCACTGTTAGTGAAGAAGACACAAAGTTCACAATTTGTAATACGTGTAGGGCCAAAGTAAACCATGGGGGAACCACAGGGCTCGATAAATGCTTGTAGATTTTTTAAAGGGGCAAGTGAGAGAGAATTTTACTTTCCCGACCAGACAAGAAGCCTTATTAAAACGTCAATAACAAAAATAAATAGAGAAGTACTGAAACTTGGCCACGAAAAATTTTCACATGAGAATGATTCTGATTTTACTGCATATATTGTAAACGGCGTCTGATAATGTATTGATGTCATGCCAGATGAGGCTCATGCAGCCTAAATGAGAGAGAGACTCGTGCAGAAATCAAAATAATTGAGCATGACAGCACAGACAAAGTATCTCAGAGAAAGTTTTAGATGCATACTGAGGGATAAAAAATTACATTTAGCCTATAATATATGATATAGGTGAGCAACATATCAGCATGATTGTAATATGACACCATACAATAGTAGTGCAATAAACAAGTTAAAATGAGTGACTAACATTTTAGACAGAATATTGACTGTTTTTGCTTAGTTTTGCAAAAGAAAATAGTTCCAATCAAAGCCACAGCAGAACAGTTGTATGTCTCCGAGCAACAGACAGTGGTGTTTCATTACTGAATGAATCCATGTTATTGAACGAATCAAGTGAGTCGATGATTGAGTGACCCATTCATAAAGACAGTAACTTGCCTCCAGGGCTTGAAAAAGAAAAAAAATTCAATCGGTTCACTCCGAGCAGAATCGATATTTTAACGTTTCTGTTCCTTCGTTCCTCTGTATTATTACCGTTCCAAAACTGGTTTGGGTAGAAGAAATACCGGTTAATAACGTTATTTTTATTCTTTTTTTAATTCTTTGCCTATAATAATAATAATAATAATAAAGTACAGCATTTTCTTTACTAAAAAAAAACAAAACAAAACAAAAAAAACAGGAAGAGATCTGGTAACGTTAGCCTATAACCCGCTGCGCTTAGTCACAGCCAATACTGCATCATCTTTTCTAGATTTTGGCAAAATGTAGGCTACAAAACAAAAGAAAAAAAACTATCAACACTTTAAAGACATTAAAGTATTTTTAAGATATTTAAAAATGTTTGCTGCATTGTTAAAAAAACACTACTTGTATAAGATTGCGTTTTGAGAGTGAAGAAAACATAAGTAGCGTATAGCTCACATTGCATTTTATTAGCCCTATTACATTCAGAAATAATGTAGGCTAAAGCAAAATGTTTACAAACATTATAAATACAGTTATTAGTTTCTCTCCACAACAAATCATCTAAAGTTAAGGCAATGCTATAGAAACGTCTATAAAATATATATATATTAGGCTATAAAAACGTCAATCCAAAAACAAATTAATTTAAGGTGAAACTGATGCCTATGTAGCGAATCAGCTCATGGGGAAATATGAATAATTAATCATAACTTGTTATAATTAATTATAAATATTTAGGTTCCGCTGTAGATATTTACTTGACCTCTCAGGGTCAACTGTCTGTCAATTCTAAGAACGTTAATTTCCTGGTTAAGGGAAATTACTTTCTTACTGTACAGTTCTACACAGAGCTTGTAGCATAAATCTGCATGATTAAGTGACTCCAGTTATGAGCAAACAATGAACAACGTCAAGTGTGATACAAGTAAGACTTTATTAACTACATAAACACTTAAACTAGTCTAACATACTACATAAACACTTAAACTGGTCTAAAATACACATACACACACACACACACACAAACACACGCATACAGTTGGTAAAGGAAAGGGTTAAAGCTTAACTCAGTAAAGAGGTTATGGAACTCACCAGTGGCCTGTGGTCATTCGCAGACATCCTGGCGCCCAGTCTATTGGGTGAGGGGTCTGTGACGACTTGTTAATCTAATGAATAACTGATTTGTTAAATCAAATGAAAAATAGTGTTTCTGATTGGTCCAGACGCTACACCTACCTCTCTCATTTGGCACAAATCCAAATGTTTCCATATTCGCGACATATCTGGGTGCTAAAATATTATTTATTATAGGCTAGGCTTTGTACATTCATCGACGTAAAACATCATCCTTTACATCGGCTATATAGCACAGTGAGGCGGTGGTCACGCTGAATGCAGCAGATTTTGTACAATGGAGCAGTGTAACTTATTTGTTTCTTTAACTGTATTTTATTTTGATAATGAATAGGCTGCAATGTCGCAAAAATATGTTGTGCGTGCGCATGAGGCACACTTTAGTACTGTGAAGCTGCTTTGACACAATCTGCATTGTAAAAAGCGCTATATAAATAATGGTGACTCGACTTGATTTACTTGGTGGTTTGGTTTCATAATTAAAAGTATCATTGCATTTTTCTTATTTGTATGTTCAAAAATTATTTAAAACTTTAATCTTAAAACAATATTTATGCATTTGCAATTTTGTGGGGTAAATACATTTATGACACCTCAGCTTCATTAAATAGTCTGTGTAAATACATCTAATGCCACTTCAGATGCAGCTTCTGTTTCCTCTACTGTGGAAAGAAGTTTGTTGATACTGATTTTATTTTAAAGGTAACAACTCTATAGTTTCTTGTTATTCTGACAGAATTAACTGAAACAATGTAAGAATTTTATATAAAATATGACATTTAATAAGAAAAAAAAGCTAATTTATAAACATCTGTTTTGTTATACACAGCAACTCATTTCTTATTCGACCCCACACTCAGAAGAGGAAATGTGCTATGCCTGAATATGCTTTCAGAAAATGCTTTGCAAGACTTAATGCTTTCATAGCAGAGTAGTCAGCCCCCGTGCACGCTGCCTCAGCATGGGCGTGGCCCAGACGCATCCAATTTGAAGCTGTCAGTGATAAACATTAGTGACAGCATTCTCTTTTAATCCGCCTAAAAAAGATCAAACCGCTCGTTAGAAGAGGAGTTTTGATGATCTTTATGTGTAACACTCTAGCACAGTGTTTCCCAACCGGGGTGCCGTCTGTCGAGAGCAGGGGTGCCGTGTAAAAAATCCTTTATTAATATTTTTAAATTGCTAAAATGAAAAAAAAAAAAAAAAAGCATCTATTAAATAATATCCATTTCTGATGTCGCCAATAATTAGAGATGCACCGAAATTCCGGCTGCCGAAAATTTGTTCACCGAAAATTAGTTTCACTTTCACGTGGTGTGACGCTCTGCGTATTATCCCGCTCTATGCGTGCGCTCCACTCAGTCGCTTCACTCGTATACCGTTCATGTGAATCGGAACAGCAAAGTCCACTCGAAAAACGAGCCGACAGGAAACATCTGAAGTTATAATGGTAATTAAATAATGTTTACATATGAATAAAAGCCTACATTAAAATCTGTCATATAAATTGGTGTCCTCATTAGAAATTAGCCTACTGATTGCCTCTATGGACAAAACAATTAATAATATAAAAAATAGCTGACATATACACACATATATATATATATATATGACACATTCTGCAGTTCTTCCCTGCTGTACTGAATATCGATACTTTTCAAAGTATCATATCGAAGTTAGAAATTCAAATATTGTGACAAAATTAATTTTGTAGGGTGCTACAAAGTTGTTAAAATTTCCAAAGGGTGCCGCGACTAAAAAAAGGTTGGGAAACACTGCTCTAGCAGATCAAAAATGTTGTGTGCATTCTCTCAAATCCGCTCGTAGCGGATGAGGGGAGGGGTGGGGTGGGACATCTTTATTCAAGAAGGCGAGCCACGAGCAAAGCAAGAGCGAGACATGAACTCTCATAGTAAGAGCAGTCTGTCTCAGCAGCGCCGGCGCCACGGGGGGGCCTGAGGGGGCCCGGCCCGGCCACCTCGGTCACTGTGTCCCCTCAGCTCTGGTGCCGCCTCCGTAGTGGGTGCCCTGATTTTAGCCGGTGAGACAGGGTACTGCCCTGGGAAGGTCTTACAGGCTGTTAAATACACAGATTAAAAGGTAAATGTTTTCATTTCGGTTCGTTCTTAGAAAAAAAAAAAAGAATTTCGTTCAGGTTATGCAGAGCGAAATAAGAACGGTACTGCATTTAGAAAGAATTCTTATTAACTTTGCTATTATTCTTGAATTTTCAAACTGCTAAAACGTTGCACTTTCGAATTATGCCTTTACTGTATGACCAAAAATTACGAAGTAGTCTATTTTTTGTTTCAGCTGTTCGATCACGCCGGCGCCTCACGCGTACAATATATAAGCTACTGCATTCATTGGAAACAGCTCATTATGATATTTTTTTCCGTCGATAGTGGAACGCGCGTGAACTACAAAGCATATTTTACCCAATAAGGCTAATAGTTTAGCTTCAGCTACATCACGAACATGGACACATTTTGATTTGTGCCTAATCAGAGAGGTAAACCCAACTTTACCTTACGTTTTGTTTTAAATTAATTTGTTTTGGCTTGTTTATTGCTAAGCCTATATTATTATATACTGCAATTATATTTATCCATTAGAATTATATATATTTTAAATTCTTATTCTGTTCTGATACGGTTAAATTTAAAGGATTTGTTGTAAAGTGAGAGGAACTAAAATATCCTATAGTGTTGGTACATTATAACATTATTAGGCCTGCTGTTATTATTTCTGAAAATGCAACTTATATGAGACATATCCTTTTTTTTTTTTTCCTAAAAAAAGTTTTTCTTGTGTTTTTAAAAGCATGCAGCAAACGAAAATATGCGATTAATCTGTTCAAATTTGTTACTGTGGGTTAACAAATTTACATTAGTAGGCTATTCTTATGCTTGGCTTCCCAGATAGCATCAGAGTCTGGGCCAAATCTGGTTTACATTCACTTTTGGTTTTTTTCAGTCTTGATTGCAAATGTTTATTTTTATTTATTTATTTTTTTTGATGTAGGATGGATCATTAAAACAAAAATCAGGCATGTGTAGCCTATTTATAACATCAATTACTAGGCCTACATTCTTTTTTTCAGAAATGGAAGTAATTTAAAATGTTATTGTGTGTTTGTAATTTTAATATTTTTATCTATAGGCCTATAACAGCAAAACTACAGAGCTTCCAGTATTATTTTACAGAGCTGTAAACATGGGAATCTCTGACCGCATGCAATCATTGACGAACACCCAATTCATATCGGCCTATCAAACTAGGCTATATGTTATTAAATTGTACATAGGCTATACATCAGATTATTTTATTTACAAGTTTCATGTTTGTGTTTATCCCGTTTTTTTCCAGTTGCATCTGAAAATTACTTTCAGAAACAAATTTTTTTTTCAAAGCAGCCTTTGTGCGCTCTGGCGCCGACCCTGGTTACCAGCATTCTTCAAAATATCTTAAAGCAATAAATGCATAAGGTTTGAAACAACATTAGGGTGAGTAAATGTAAATGTAAAAAAACAGAATTACAATTTTTGTAAACTGAAATGATACTCAAAATATAATAATAATAATTTCTAATTAATTTAACTGTTGTATAAAATTATTTCTAAATTTGCACTCATTCATGACTCGTGTGATAACTTTATGAGACAAAAGCTCATTCAGGGGCATTTTTTCCCCTATATCTAGAATTGTAAGGGCTGTACTTGCCATCTTCTCTTCGCACTCTTGCAAACGGGATGCTCCGAATTGCCGTAGAGTCCTTGTAGCCATGAGAGGTGTGTCCATGTAGATGAGCAAATAAATCTGCATCTTAAGTGGAGTGTGGCGTTAATTTAACGTCAGTCGGCATGTGGCGTTATTTTAATGCGTGGTGGCATCTGCCATTAACTTATCGCCTAGCGGCGTTTATTTAACGCCTGGCGGCATTATGAAAACGGCGTTTTAATATTGATACGGCGGTGAAAAGCAGGCAAATTCTGACCCATATGGCTTTCCATAGGGATGTTTGCTAACATTACATCCGTAAACGAAAAATGAAAAATAACTTTCCTGTGAATATATCGGGGCCTTTATGTACACATTAGACAACATTTAGATTCACAGATTTAGTGTTATTGTACCTTACGGGGCTCAAACTCCCAGTTGTGTATGACTCTAGACGGAATAATGGCTGTGTCATTCCAGTGGCAGCTGCTGCAGTAATATTGACCTGTATAATCACACTGCCGTGCCTCATTAGGAACACCCCCTACACAACACAAGACAACGTTTTAAAACTTCCTATGCAAGGGAATTCTAAATATCAAAGTTAACTCCATTTCTCCCATTATAGAGCAATCATACAACACAGAATCTAGCACTTTTGACTATAACCACAAAGAATTTATTAAAAACAAAACAAACCAAATTAAAAAACAAACAAACAAACATCTGTTCACAATTGTGTCATCATTAGGGACAAAGATAAATGTTGGAAAAGCAATAGAAGATGTGATGTCTGTTTGGAAAGAGACTTACGTAGAGAGATGGGTGTCCAACACTCAGCACATCTGTAGTCCTGTTTGTCTAGACCGACTTCAGAACAGATGCTGAGTTCATACTCAGACTGATGGCTGACCTTTGACTTCACACATGGTTTGTTGATAAGATTCATGCACTTGCTATGACAACGGTAATAACAACCTGGAACCAGAAATGGAAAGCAATTTATATTAGTTTTAAAACCAAATATTAAAGGGATAGTTCACCTTCAGTTGGTCCTCATTGACTTTGAAGTCAATGGAGACCAGCAACACTTTAAGTTGTGTCATGACACAGTAAGATCTGAATACATCCATTCTCCAAACAACTTGTACTATGTAGAATTGCAGGGATCCAGCGTCCCAGGCTGAAGGCAGGGAAACACCCTGGATAGACAACCAGTCCATCACAGAAAGGTCTGAATTTGCTTAAGCAATTAAGCTAATACTAATTACTAATATTAATTACCATTATAGCCAAGTGTCAGATTGAAAAGCCTGAAGTGTAAATTACTTCACTATAGATGTTTCCAAGGTTTTGTGAACAGTGCACCACAAATCACACTATGGAAATACATGTTTTAAATGTCAAAGAATAGTCCATCCAATTTTTTTTTGTGGACCTCAAAAATGTAAACGTTTAAATAATTATGAGAAAGAAGTATGTTTAAATAATGATAAATAAGTTATCAAGATAGAGAAGCGGAAGACTATGAGTACTTTGAATTTTAAAGTCGACATGAAACGGAAGTAGCGATTGTCTTTTTTCCCTATTGTGACGTCTATCAGAGTGAAACGGCATCTGAAATGAGAGGGCGGGACTTGATTTCGTCCTTCGGGAATTGATTGGATCATTGGAAGTTGGGGAGTTGCTAACAAAATGGAGGCAGATCTGAATGCCAGTTTGCAGTTAGTTGTGGGGGGATTTCTCTCCACTGGATTCACCGCTGACACCCTAGCATGAAGAAATTTTTTATTTATTGAGGAAAACGATGACGATCAACGGCACAAAACATGCCTAACAGCGTGTGTGCACGAGAGACAGAGACTGCCTGAATGACTGAGCGCGTCCTCCATCAGGTTAAGTCATATTCATAAAAAAATAGTTGTCCTAAGAGTAATGTTTTGGTAATATCCTAATATCCTTTCAATTTTTAAGGGTGTACTCCCCCATGGCTTGCATCAGCACTGGTCAATGCATTGATTTCAATAAAGTGAAGCATCAGCTTCAGCTTTCCCCCGTTGTTTATTCCAGCATTTACCCCTCACGTATGTCTAAGTGGTGCCCGCAGAATAACATAGGTTTCATAGACAATTGGACAAGTTTTTGGGGCAGACCTGACCTGTTGAAAAGAGATGGTCTTCATCCCTCCTGGGGTGGTGCCACGCTTCTGTCTAAAAATATGGCACATACACTCTTAAAAATAAAGGTGCTTCAAAAGGTTCTTCAATCGATGCCATAGAAGAACCATTTTTGGTTCCACAAAGAACCATTCAGTCAAAGGTTCTTTAAAGAACCATCTCTTTCTTACCTTTTTGTAATCTGAAGAACCTTATTTCGCCACAAAGAACCTTTTGTCAAACAGAAAGGTTCTTCAGATGTTAAAGGTTCTTTATGGAACCATTTAGACAAAAAGGTTCTTCTATGGCATCGTGAAGCACCTTCATTTTTAAGAGTGTAGTCTTAGAGTTTGTACTTGACTAACTGGGGCCCAGGAAGCAGACAGACTGGCTAAACCGACCATCTGCTAGCCGCCTCACATCACAGAAATCAGTTAATTCTCAGCACATAGTGACTCTTTCACCTAGATATCACACTATAGAGACTGTCTGTTCCCCGAACTAGAAAATACAAAAAACGTCCAAACCAATTTAAGAGTAACAATTTAATTGATGGTCAACAAATAAAAAACAGATGTAATACAGATAAACAAATGATAAAGCTTGGCTTATTGAATATCAGGTCCCTTTCTGAAAAGAACTATCAGTAGGGCTGCCACTAACGACTATTTTTATTTTTATTAATATATCGACTAATTTATCGATTAATCGATTAATCTAAACGGTTAATTTCCCACAAAAAAATCAACAATTTTACTTAAGAATATTTTATTAAAGGGGTCATATGATGCAATTTCAATTTTTCCTTTCTCTTTGGAGTGTTACAAGCTCTTGGTGCATAAAGAAGATCTGTAAAGTTGCAAAGACTAAAGTCTCTAATCCAAAGAGATATTCTTTATAAAAGTTAAGAGTATAAAAGTTATAAAAGTATAAAAGTTAAGAGTCGCCTACCTAAAACGGCTCGTTCTATCACGCCCCCACGTATCTACGTCACTATGTGGGAAGATTTGCATAACGCTGCCCAAATTTTCAGGCAAAGAAAGAAGCCGTAACTTTTATGCTCGCTGTAGTATTGTTGCCACCGCCATGTCGTGAAGGCGCTGTGTGTTTCGTTGTGAAAGCGAAACTACTTTGTTTGGCCTTCCAAAAGAGGACGATATCTGCTTCGTCATGCCTGGAGCTGATCCATGCTGGTTGCTGAGGAAACACAACAACTTTGCGCTGTGGATTGCCGGATCGGCTTTCACCGTGGACGAAGCGTAGTCCAACCCGGGTTCGTCACATGTGGTTGCCGCAAGCCTTCATCGAATCTGCCGGCCACGCCGTTCTCAAGCCCGCCACCCCTGCTCACTCTAGGCCGCCGCTACTCACTCTAGGCCACCGTGTGTGATGCTGTGTTTCATTGTGAAAGCGAAACTACTTTGTTTGGCCTTCCAAAAACGGACACGACTAGAAATCAGTGGTTAAGTTGTATTTACAACACTGTTCCAGAACACTTCAACCCAAATATTCAGATGTGTGCAGCACATTTTATGGAGGACCGTCTCCTGATCCTGGTAGAGTAAACTACAATGCCGGCTGTTCTGACACACAGACTGTAAGTACATTTTTTTATATTTAAAGAGTTTTTATATTTTATATTTTTTTATATTTAAAGCGAGTTTTTTGGGCAGTGTAGAGTAGGGCTTGTTGTTTGTCATTTCTCCGATCACAAGACAGTATAAGTCATTATAATCCATAATTATGTCCCCACTGGATGCAAAGAATGCCTCGTTTATAATGGGTTTTCATGTTTTTGAATCATCGCTCCGGCCTGACGGCATCATCACAATATGGTAAGGGGCGTAACACTTCCGTCACACGCTTGAGGTATTCGGCCAATCATAACGCACTGGATAGCTGGCCAATCAGAGCACACCTTGCTTTTCAGACCGATGAGCTTTGTAAAAATCAATTTTTTTTCTGAAAGGCGGGGCATAGAGAAGAAACAATAATGTACAGTATGTGGAAAATAATGTGTTTTTTGAACCATAAACAGAATAATCACATTTCATTCCAAATACAAATACACAAAATAATGTTCTTACATAATACACAAAATAATGTTAATCATATGACCCCTTTAAACAATATTTTATTAAACCAAATGAAATCCAAATTTCTATGAAATCCTTTTTTTAAAGCAAAAGTAAAGTGCAACATAGAGTGCAAGAAGCAAGTGTCCATCTCATAGTCCAAATCACTGAAATCAAAGTTCAGTATTATAGTGTAAGAATGACAACATATGCACGTGTTCTAGTCTACTAATAATAAAATTATAATCAAAAAACACTTTTTAAAGGAGTATTTACCAGAAATGTTATTTACCAGAATTTATTTAGGAGAAAAATTTAAATGTGCAGTAGGGCTGCACGATATATCGAAATTATCGAAATATCGCAAATGCAAATATCGCAATATGCATATCGCAAGGGCGTGTGATATCTGAATCATTTTAATAATAGGCTACTTAAATCAAAATGTTGCAAAAGGTCAAAGTTTTAGTTCAACGCATATAGCAGAGAATTGCTTGACGTTAAAAAGAGTTAAGTGCAATAAGTTGCAGAAAACAACTCTTTGCCGTCTCTCTTGCTGTCTTTATGGGCTTACATTTCTGCCACAATTCTGCACGCGAAAGATCATATTTTGAGCGCACAAAAGTGCATTTTGCACGCGCAAATGAGTTTGTGGAGAAAATGTTCGTTTCGCAAAGAAAAAAGTATCTTGAGCGCACGGAAATCAATTTTGCATTTAAAATAAGTTTTTGGATGTGTGCAGACCTTCTCTTCTGCGCGTGCAACATTCCACTAGCTTGCTCACCTGATGCCCCCCCCTCTGTGCTCGCAAAATGCCAACAGCTAGCTCAACACAACCCAGCGTTACAATGCGCCATAATTCCAGCCAATCAGAGACGAGGCTGCTTAATTCTGATTGGCTGCCTTGACAACCA